CATCCTGCCTGCCTATGCATTTTGGGTACCTCCCCTGTGACGCCCACCCCCAGAGCTGTATTTTTCTCTGGCTAAGATTAGAACATATTCCTTGTAAAGTATTTTTCTATGTGGGTTTTCTTAGAGCTCCCAGGAAGCACCCAGCACACCCATGGCTCCACTGCACAGGCTATTCCTGGTCTGTCTGGGGCCCACGTATAAATCTTTGTCCCACCAGGCATCACAGTGACTGGGGGGAGGTTGAGTGCTATTGGGGTGATTTTTTTAATAAAATTGGTTAAATGTACAAAGTAGGTTGTTTGCTTTATAAAAAATAACAGGCTGGCAAGGTTCAGTTTCTGTGTGAATCTTGTAGCCTCTCATTCATTCATTCATTCATTCATTCATTCATTCATTCATTCATAAAGCAGTTCATGGAGCTGAACAGATGGCTCAGTGGTTAAGAGCTCTTAGTTCTGCCAGGGAGTGGTGGCACACGCCTTTAATCCCACCACTTGGGAGGCAGAGGCAAATGGATTTCTGAGTTCAAGGCCAGCCTGGTCTACAGAGTGAGTCCCAGGACAGCCAGGGCTATACAGAGAAACCCTGTCTCAAAAAACAAACAAACAAAACAAAACAAAACAAAAAAAACCAACAACAACAACAAAAGAGGTCTTGGTTCTCTCAAAGAGGACTTGGGTTTGGTTCCCAGAAGCCACATGGTGGCTCACATCTATCTGTGACTCCATTCCCAGGGGACCTGATACCCCTGCAGGCATTAGGCACACATGTGGTACATACATACATACATATACATGCATACATACATACATACCATACATACATACATACATACACACAGGCAAAACATTCATACATATAAGATGAAACAAATATTTAAACAAGAGATACTGGCCTATCTTGGGGGCTGGAGAGATGGTCCCTTCCAGAGGACCTGGGTTCTGTTCCCAGCACCCATATCAGGCAGCTCACAACCACCCAAAACTCCAGCTTCAGACCGCCACCCTCTTCTGGCCTCCATTAGCACTGTGCTTACATACACATACCCACCACACACAGACAATAAATAAAAATAAATCTTTATAAAAACTCAGCTACTGTATATCCTAGTGAAGACAGTGTGCTGGTCATAGTCTTTTTAGTAGCCATAAAGACCAGTGAAAGAAGACAAAAATCTACTCGAACAGGGTGGCCAGGCTGAGGAAAACTGCAGCCCGGGCAGGGCTTCTCTGAAGGGGTGATAGTTTAGGACAGAAGCCAACCCTTCACAGACCTAGAGGAAGTGTCACAGGCAGGGGGCAGGGCCACAAGTGCAAAGCATCCATGGTATTACTGACTTTGGCAGGTTCTAGGGCCCAGAGGGGTGGAGGCACTGGAAACCGTGGGGTGGGATGTCTTAGTTTGTGCAGCCAGGGAATCTTTGGCCTTGATGAAGGGAGGTGCCAAGTGGGTAGCCTGGAGGTCTAGCTGTTGCTCTCAAGCCTCCAGGACCCAGGGCAAAGTAAATTCACAGGTTCTGGGGTCCAGAGAACAAGGCCAGGCCTGTGGAATGGAGGAAACTTACAGATCTAAAGGCAGATAGAAGCTGTTCCCTCTGGGTGTCAGTGCATAGAAGTGATGGCTGGCACCATCCACACAGCCTACATGCCAAGCACAGTTTTGAGCACTTTGTAAGAACTGGTGGGATCCTACTAGCAGCCTTCAGGAGAGGACTCCATACCCATTACAGAGGAGGAACCCAGGCATTAGAAGGTTAAGTGATTTACCTGAAGGCATACAGGTAGGTGTAGAGTAGAGCCAAGATCCAAACACACGCCAAATGGCTGAGACACACAAAGGCAGGCAGGCAGACACAGGCCATCAAAAAGGCCATGTGAATGTGATGGGGAGCTCTTTTAATTTGACACTGTCTGTGAAACCAGCCAGAGCAGACCCATGGTCCTCACCCACCCCAGATATGGAGAGAAGTCTGTTACCCAGGAACACACCCTTGTCTGGGGGCTTCCTCTCAGCGGGCTCCCATCCCCGTGAAGGCAAGGAACACCCTGTATATGAAAACCTGAAATCCAAAATGCTCCAAAATTGGAAACTGAGAGCATCGATACCTCAACACAGTGGATAATTCACACCTGAAATCATGTAACAACCCAGCCAAAACAAAGGAGCTGTTAGACCTGAGGGAAAACCAATTCCATGGCTGTCTGCTTAAAGCAAGCTATATTAGAACTGGCCAGCCAGCTGCTTCTCTGAAAGTCGAGGTTTCAGAGGACAGCATCTCATTGACTTTTGAGGGAAGGGTTAAGATTAAAACAACAACAACAACAACAGAACAAAACAGCAATGAGAATTTCTTGCTAGCACCTGGACAGAAGAATGAGAACCGCAGGGCTCAAGGCTGCCTGTGAGAAGTGCAAACAGTTATCATGTGCATGGGGAGGCATCCATGTATCTGGGAAGACACATTTTCATAAGCCAAGAGGGCAATCATACATCACAATTCAGTTTAACAAGGCAAAGGAGTGGGTATATTATCATGGTGTCACTAGCTCAACACAGGTTGAAAAACATGGTCTTCAGGATACGTTAGGCTTAGGAGACGAAACTTAACCGTGTAAGGTATGAAGACTTAGTAAGAATGTATAACAATGTAGCTCCTCCACCACCCTGTGGTTCTTGCTTTGGTTTCACAGCACCCAGCTGTTGGGTCAGGGTGGCTCCAGGTGATATGCTTGGCTTATAAGCACAAGGGCCCAAGTTTGATCAAAACCCATGTTAAAATGTCAGGCAGGGCTTAAGGGACAGTTTAGGGGTTGGAAGTTCTCGCTACTTTTCCAGATCAGGTTTGATTCCCAGCACCCACAGAGGCAGCTCACAACTGGTAACTCTATCTTCCAGGGACTCTGATGCCCTCTTCTGGTCTCTGAGGGCACTGCATTCACATGCACACACCAACACCAAAGGCCAGGTACAACAGTTCTTGCAATCTCATTGCTGGGGAGAAGAGACAGTGAGTCCTTGGGACTCCCAGGCCAGCCTGTTCTAATTAGCCAGCCCCAAGATAGTGTCTGAAAAAAAAAATCAAGGTCAACAAATGTTCTTAACAGCGGAGCCAGCTCTCCAGCCCCAGTGAAATCCCTTTAAAAACTGTGAAGTGCTTGCTAAAATGTAGAGGTGAACTGGCCACTCCAAAACACACCAGACGTTCTTGGATTTTAAAAAGGAAATGTTTATTGTTGTGTTACAAGGTGATTATAAACTCCTCTAAAAAAAGCAAAGATGGATTTAAAATATCAATATACATATTCATCTAAAAAGCAAAAGAGGAAAAAACCCAAACCCTGCAAAATGCGGGGTCGTTGTAATTAAACATACACAGAGCTTGTATACTGCAAGACAGGTCACACACCAAGGATCCTTCAAACACAAACGCTCCTTCCCTTCTTGGTTGGTTTCAGGTTGTGTGTGTGTGTGTGTGTGTGTGTGTGTGTGTGTGTGTATGTGTGTGTGCGCATTTGGTTTTTTTGTTTTGTTTTTTGTTTTTTACAAAAGTTTAAAATATCTTAAAAATATTTTGAAGTTTTTAAAAAATGTCCTGATGAGCCAGACATATTTCTGAAGGAGGCAAAACCCACGTTCTCAGCTTTTCTCTTGTGCTAAATACAGTCACAGTTGTTAGGGATTGGAAAGATTAATTGGTTAAAAAAAAAATGGAAACTACCATCTCATTTTGAAGCCAAATATATAACAAAATGCTCTGTCCTTCAGGGAACATGCCAGAACATGCCTGTAATGACACCACCACTCCTCCTCCCTCCCAGAGAGCATGGACAGCCAGTTTCCTATGAAGGCCTGACTCCTGGGAGATCAGCATGGAGGAGGGAAGGAGGGAGCACTGCTCTGGCTTCTGGGACGCCCCACTCCATCTCTGGGTTTTGTTGTGTGTGTGGTTTGGGACTTGATGAAGGAGGGGTGTGTACACAGAGGTATTTACAGTGTCCATAGGGACAGGGGTCTCAAGTTCGAGTGGGACTGTGAGGGGCCTTCTCTAGGTGCCTTCCTGGCTTGTGTCTGCATCTTGGAGAGAGGAACTGGGCTGGCACCTGTTAGACTGATTGCTAGAGCATTGCCTCGTCCAGAGGGGCGGGGCTGGAATGCTGTCAGCCATGGTAGTGACACCCTATGATAGAGAAAGCCCCTCCTGTGCAGAGGGGGCACATGCGGCTTTCCCCTCATGCTTTGCCATGGTCTGCATGGCTTTCCAAGGTGGGTTACGGAGCTGAGGTGAGGACTAGAGGCCAGAGGCAGAGAAGGAAAAGAAACCCTCTCAGGCTACTTCCTGCATAGCCTTGGGCTACATGGAGGTCTAAGGCCTGCCCATATACCCTGGCTAAGGCTCTCCACACTAGGGATGTCTTTGGCCCTCAGTTTCCTGTGGTACAATTTGAGGGGAGGGTGTATCAATTTCAAGTTCCCAAAGGCTTTGGAGGAGAAAGGAAGGCAGGAAGGGTGGCACGGGGCCTGAGTGAGCAGGATAGTGAGGACGGGCACGAGTGGGTATTGCTCTCAGCTCCATGAATATGGAGCAGGGGCCATCATCAGCTCTGGCCTTTGGTTAACAGGGAAGGCTTGACAGTTTACTTAGACAATGTCCTGGTCCTACCTTCCCTCTACTATGTCTTGGAGAGCCTGGAGCTACAAATGACTCAAATGTCCAATTCCACTTAGCTCACAGTGTAAGTCCCATGCTAGGCCTATTCTCCTGTTTACACAAGTGCCTTGGATTGGGCCTCTGGGGCTATCCACAGTGCCCAGTAGGGATCCTCCACTTGGGAGGTAACACAACTCTTAGGACCAAATAACATCTCCCAGGAGAGTTCTCCTGGGCCCACCTAAGGTCCTCATCTAAACCTGGCAATGTTCCTTGCTTCCTGTCTACATCTGACAGGCAGGACAGGATCTGGCCTGATCCAGGCAAGGGCTGGTTGGTGAACAGCTTAGCCCTCTCTCCAAGAGGCAGGTGGACCAGAGTCACGAGCTCGACTTCAAAATGTTACTTACATGCAGACATGAAAACACAAGCATCACAACAAGAGTTATCAGGGCCAGGGGGCTGGGTGAGAGTGGTGGGTATTGAAGACAGGTGAGGGGATGCTGTCGGGGAGTGGGCTCGGGAGGTGGCTGGCCTTCCATCCAGGCAGGGCCTGGGGACTTGGCCTGCTGTGTCTTTGGTCTAGAATTTGATCTGGGAATGATTAAAAAGGCCTTTCTCAGGCCGTTTCCAGAATGGTGCCATTTGTCTGCCAACCCAAAATACTGAAGGCTCGCCGGAGGGGTGTGCCTGGTGGGGGTTGGGGGTAGAGTAGACGGGCATGACCACAGACATTGCCACAGCTGGACTAGCCCCCTCTCCCTTACACTTCACCTGTCTTCCAATCACCCACAGTGGTTACTTTTAAGGTTCCATAGAACAAAAGAAAACCAGGGTACATTACAAGTCGGTAAAATCGGGGAAGGAGGACTCCAACACTCAAAACAGAAACAAAAACAAAAAAACACACAAAAGCAACCAGAAATACACAGGACAACAGGAACACGGTACAATCATGGGTGGCTGAGTCAACAGCCACTGGAAGAGGATTAGAGGGTCACTTGGCAGAGTCCATTGCTTTGGAGACAGAAAAATGTGTACATTTGTCAAAGAAGTTCAGGATGGCACAGTTGGGCCCAGTGGAGGCTGGGGTGAAGGTGTAGTGCCCTCTCCTGGTTCAGAAGGAAACAGCCCTGCCTGACATTGGGCAGCTCTGGAGTACTGACCTCATCTCTGTGGAGACAACTTCAACCTACAAAACTTTCCTTTGTCTTCTCTCTGCAGTTCCCTGGTGGGCAAATACCTGTCCAACAGCCAGTGCAGTGGCTTGGAAATTATCTGAGGTCACTACCAAGTTGGCTCTGTACTTAAACTCAGATCCGGTAAGATCCAGGGTCTACAGCCACTCAGAGCATTCCTTGCTGGGAACTGGATGGTTCTGGGGTGGTATCTTTGACAAGAGTTTGTCAAGAGGCAAAGAAGAAAAGTGCCTTCCTGGGGTACACTTACCAGTCTGGGGTACACTCACCCTCCTGAGCTACTAATGTCATTTGGTCCACTGGCCTCCCCTGCCCTGGCCCTCACCAAAATACATTCTTCTTGATACACCATGACTCCACTCGAATACAGCAGACAGAATACCTGAGTGTGAACCCCATTCTGAAGCCCCAGAAGCTCCTCTGGACTGGCTTCAGGCAACCATACTGAGTGCTCAAGAAAGGACACAGTTTCTACCTATGCCTGCAGAGGCTCACAGACCCAAGCCCCCTTCTCACCAGACATTCAGACATCCCATTCCTGCCTCTAATACCCACGGTGGTTCAGACAGTCCCACTGACTACCCACCCCATTACTTCAAAATAAAAGGGCAGGCATTTGGCCCTGGTACAACTGCTTCAGCAGCCCTCAGATCAATCCTTCAAGCTGAGGCTGGGTCATTATTTGGCATCTTTCTTGTTGGCTGAGAAAAAGTGAGGCCCTGCTCTCTCCTGCCCCTCAGGTCTGTTGCTAGTGGGGGCTCCCTCTCCTCAGCTGTGTTCTTCCTCCTGAACCAGCTCAGAAGGGACTACACCTTTCTTGAAGATATATCCACCATCATAGGAAAATTCCACCCAGCATTTAGTATTATTTTTTTTCTCTTTTTCATTTGTTATTGGGCAGAACTTTCTGCCAGCTATAGAAGCACCGAAGAATTGCTTTTGAAAAACGAGATCCGTTGCTGGCAAGACCAATTCAAGTGGCAAAGTGTATGACAGACTCTAAGTATATATAGTTATATGTTAAAAAAATACAAAGAAAAATTTACCAAGTTCCCATAAAATACATCGAAATCAATATGAAAGTCCATCCTCTCCCCAGGACATAGGCCCATGGGTTTTCATTTTGTACAAAATATCCCCTAAACAAAACAAAATACACATATACAGACACATACGATACACATACACACACACATAGAGTAACATTTTCTGTGACAATTAAAAAAAAAAATCCTAGTACAAATATAAAGCTCTGTAAACCTGGTCCTATGAGAATCTAACGTTAGTAAACAGCAGGAAAGCGGCGCCTGTCGCATGGCCCAAACTTCACATCATGGTCTCCACAATGACATGACTGGGTTTCATGAGTGCGCCGTTCATGAGGGTTGCTCGGGAGTGAAAGGGTGTGGCCCCTTCACGCTCCACAGCCCATCGGTTGGGCTCCCTGGGGGTTATCAGATATTTGATTCTCTGCAGAAGAAAGAGGAGGAGATCAGGAGCAGATTAGGGAGGGTCCTTCCCACCCACCTCCAAAACATCCCAAGGTACTTGCTCTATGGCATCTGGCCAACTGTCACCCTTTCTGGCCCTTTTTTGGATCTTTTAAAAATGGAGGGGAATGATACCCTGTGTCCTACAGTGATTTTCCCAGCCAACCCCTGTATTTGTGCTTACATATGGGAGTTAAGTCCCATCTCCTTGTGTTTCCCTATTCTCCCTGGTTTCTCTGACTTTCTGTTCTACAGTATGTCTTAGAGTTGGAAAACTGACCTAACACCCCTCTCCTCTAGCCCCCGCCCCCAAGAAGAAATTTGTACTCCTTGGCCTCCCAGAGCCTTCATGAGACAGTTCCTCATAGGGAGCCCCTTTCCCTGAAGGGTTGGGTCTGGGAGCCTACTGCAGGGAGGAGCCTACTGCCCTTTCAGATAGGAAACTACAGGAGGATTCTCAGACACTCTAGCCATGGAGCCCAGGCTTCTCAGTGTGGTGACTGATCGTGGAACTGGGGAGGGAAGAGCCCTAGCCCTCTCCAGGGACGATAGGAAGCCACCAGCAGAGTGGGAGTGGAAGTTGGCTCCCACCTCCTGCCTCCTGCCCACTTCCTGCCGGGTGTCTGCTCAGACTGAAATGGGCCAGCAGTTTAAAAAAAGAAAAGAAGTGAACAAAAGGCCCTCCTAGGTATTTACATCCAACCGTGGCAAATTACAACCGGGAGGGCTGCTTAAAGCCTGCACGCACCAGGCCTAGAGTTCTCCCTGGCACTGTCAAGGGACATGGGAGAAGCTGCTTGTTTAAGAAGACGTCATTTCACTGGAGAATCCACATTTCCACATTCTCTGGCGGAGGGTTGCGGGAGGGGAGGGACCAAACACAAGACCTGGTAACTCCAGGCTATGTCCCTCCCACAAACATCTGTGCTGCTTTGAGCAGGTAGACTCCTCATCGACCTAGCCTGCCTGCTCAGCTTTCAACCCTGCCCCTCTTGCATTGGGACATGGGGCTCCAAATGCAAAACGGGAAAGTGTACCCACCACTGGCAGCCACCCCGCTGTCTACTGGGAAGCACAGCCTGGTCTGGAATCCTGCTTGGGTTGGAGATCCTGATATGCCGCTTGCTACCTCAAGATTAGGTGGGCACCAGGACAGCTTGTGCTGCCAGGGGGGCTGTGGCTCTGTCTAGCTGTGGGGAAACATCCTTCCCAGCTACTCCTCCCTCCCCCAGCAGCTCACTCTGAACAAATCTGTGCACACAGGCCAAACCAGCCTCTTAGCCAGGCAGTGGGGTTTCTACCCATAATCCCAGCACTAGGGAGGTTTGAGGCAGGAGATCACTAGGAGTGTTTGAGGCCAACTTTTACTTGAGTGAGTTCTAAGCTAGCTTGGGCTATAGATTTAGATACTGTCTCAAAAACTAAAGTAACAACTACCACAACAGCAAACCATTCAGGTTTTCAAGAGATCCTACCCCAACTTAGTGACTGCTACAAAAACTGTAACCAGAACATACTTCTAAAGACCCCTGCAAAGTCCAACTAACGAATGTCTGGGTACTAATGACCTTCTAGAGTGACCGAAGTTGGCTCAGGGCACCAGGGGCCACCTGGAGGGTTCAGGGCAGGCACTGCGGCTGCCTGTGTGTCTGGAGCCCACTATTTCAGCACCAGCAACAGAGATGGTTGCTTTGACTCTGGCTTCATGGAGGGCGAGCGGGTGTGTGTGTGTGTATGTGTGCGCGTGTGTGCGTGTGCGTGTGCGTGTGCGTGTGTGTGTGTGTGTGTGTGTGTGTCCCAGCCCCACTCCTCTACACCCTAGGGAAGCTGTTGATGCCTTAGGCTCCTTCCTTGTCTCTTCTCCGCTCCTCTCCCAGCCAACACAGCCCCCTCCACAGGAGGAAGCCTGGGCCAGCTCAAGGGGGAGCCAGGGCCCCAGGACATCCTGGCTCCAGATTCTTTTTGTAAGAGAATAAAAACAGCCCAAAATAAAACTGTGGGGCCTTGGAGCTGGCCCAGGTGCAAAGGTTAAAGTAGATTCTGAGAAAGGGATTTCGTGGAAAGAGCAGGGGACTGCCAGGCCTAGAGGCTCCCACATTGTAGGAAGAATTCCTAAGGAGTCTGGGGGAAGGGAGGGGGCGCCATGAAGAGACAGGCAGTCACAGATGCTGGGAGCAGGGCAGAGGTGGTGGCACACCCCAGCACAGAGGGTGGCATGGTTGGGCAGTGTTGGGCTCCCTCTCCAGAACGTATCTCCTGCCCTGACTCAGAACAGAGATTCCCACACCCTCTAACTTGGCACATGAGGCCTCTGCCCCCTCTCTAGCCTAGCGACTGACCCTCTGTACCCCACACCAGGACCACATTCTACTTCATACTATATTGGGCACACTCCTCTTAGGTGTGAATGGCATCTGTCTGTCTGCCCATAGCATACTCCTGCCTTGGATCTCCCGCTTTTCATGGGGTGAGAGAAAACCTGGGACTCAGAGAGGGTGAGCATCTTGCCTAACGTCACACAGAAATCAACACTGTCTGTCCTCAACACTGTCTGTCCTCCACCTCCCATTGCCCATGCCCATGCTCACCACACGGAGCGGTCCCTCCGTCCGGCAGAGGAGGATGACAATGACCAAGGGGATACATATCATGGAGGAAAGGGCCAGGCCCCAGCCCAGCCCAATTGCCCAATCAGGGTACCGGTAGACTTTGTTGTAGGTCAGGGGTACATACTTGACAAGAGAGAAGATGAAACACCCCTGTGGAGAGATGGGACAGTCAGAGAGACCATAGGCATTTGAGAACAGTGTGGACTTTATCTGGGGCGGGGCCTCTCCTCTATCCTCACTATGGAGATGGGATGGTATTGTGCCTTATGGATCTCTCCAGGGCAAATCTGACCAAGTCACCTGTTCATCCTCCCCTGGTTCCCCAGGTGCTTTGGAATACCAATCATGTCAGCTCATAGCTGTGACCCTCCCTTTTCCATCTGCCCCCACCCCTCAGGGCTCTTTCTAGCTCTTCTGCATGTGCCCAGGGCTTAACAAAGGCTGTTTCCTCCTGCCCATCCTTTTAACTTCATCTTTTCTCCCAACTTCCACTCCAGTGCGCTGGCCTTACTTACCCAGGCCCCAGTTTTTCCCTCCAGAAGCAATGCAGCTCTGATATCCAGAGTTCGGCTGTTTCCCTCCCTCGTGTGAAACAGTGGTTTTCAACCTTCCTGATGCTGTAACCCTTTAGTACAGTTCCTCATGTTGTGGTGACCCCCAGCCATGAAATAATTTTTGTCGCTACTTCGTAAGTGTAATCGTGGTACTGCTATAACTCATCATGTAAATGTCTGTGCGTTCCAATGGTCTTAGGCAACCCCAGTGAAAGGGGGGAGGGCTTAGGAACCACTACTCTAGAGCATCTCTCTTTTAACACCAAATGTGGCTCTAGGTGAACTCAGCAGGTTCACAATAAATGCCAGAGGCATGGATGAGAGCCGGGCAGCCAGGGGCCTAAATGCCATTATCTCTCAGCACACTGGTCTGGTCCCAGTGACAGGATGTAGATCTGACCTTGTTCCTGAAGAGAACAGTGGGATGAGGCCTGAACCCTAAGCTGTGTGGAGTCTACCTTTGCCTATGAGAGGGGCTCTGGCTCTGGAGGAACTGCCCTGTATCCTTCCTTCTCCTCAAAAAGTGAGGCACCCCAGGGAATGCCATGGCAAAAATGATCCAATACTCACTGCCTCAGACAAGGTCTGATGGGAGACAGTGGTGCATGGTGGGAACAGGTGGCCCACGGGGCTTACCCTTCTCTGTTGCTTTCTGCCTAGAAAGCTGCAGCTGCTTGAAGTGAGCCCCAGAGGTGGGTGACTCTGGTCTCTACCTAGCCTTTCCAGTAGGGGGCCTCATTCTGCCACCAGAGTGCAGTCCACCTCTGGTCCAGAGGGTAGGAAATCAGCAGTTAGTGTGAGAGGGACCCCAGGCACAAGCCTGGTGTGAAAAATGACAGGCGTACTGGCCCAAGCCAGGCTGACTACAACTCTACCTAGGTTGGGCATCCAGTTGCTGTTTGTGGTCTCTTGACTTTGTTGGGGGATGTATGTTCCAAGAGCCACAATCACGTTCATCAGATTCCGAACTGTCATCTGCACTGAGGTCCCACATCAGGGTATCCTTGTCACAGAGGTGACAAGGTGAGGTAAAGAGACTGAGGCCCAGACGGAAGAGTGAGTTAGCGTGTTTACTAGGTCTGGCCTAGGTCACAGGAGAGGGGACTTGTTCATCACTAAGCACTGGTTTTTAATTGAAAGACATCTGGACTCCCCAAGGTGCTGACCAGGAACGGTAGAACAGGTAGAAGACCCACACATGAAGATCCCTAGGGCGTCGGCCAGGATCTGCTATGACAGAGCAATGGTTCTCACAAGCAGAGTCTCAGAGATGGTACCCATGCAAGGCCAGCTCCAAGGTGGTGGGCAGAGGACAGCAGCCTGGCCTAGCATCCCTGACACTGCCCTTCCTGTTTCTCTTCTTCACAAACTCTTATTGGTCTTACAAGACCCTATGCAACCAAGGCAACATAGAGCAACCTGCCTCCACTGTCACAGGTATAGCTGAAGCTGGCTTTATTAGAGCCCGCAGAACACAGGAGATCACAAGGTGAAAATATCAGGCTACTTACAACACAGAGAGCTGGAGTGATGACAGCCCAGCTGTACTTCATCCAGGGCCCAGGCCGATAGCCAATCATGTCCTCAATACCGTCATATAAGTTATCACCGCCTACAAGAGATAGCAGTGGGTCCCCAGTGACTTGGTAGCCAAAGCCAGAATAGCCCTGGGGAACAATGCAGCAGGGGTCACCACCTCTAAGCAACGGGCCTGTACTCCACACCAAGCATGGCCACGTGACACTCAGTGCAGCTGGGTACCTGCATTTTGCTGGAAGTCTTAGACAGAGCCCACATCTTAGTGTGGCTGATCTCACCTCTCTAAGAGGTCAAAATGGACCATTTCTGGGCCAAAGAGTAGGTCACCCTAGGTTAGAGGTGACAGTGTTATATTTATAGTGACATGTTTACATCTTGTGCCTTCAGTGGGATTATCTGTGACATGCTCAAGGAGTATCCTGGAGTGAACATTCCAGACAAGGGAAGCTTTTCCATTATATTCTCTGCCCAAATGAACAGCTTGAGAAAGGATGTACAAATACGAATACTCACCATATATCCAGGCAATAACAAAACATTCAAAGAATGCAACCCACAAAAGGCATACACCACTAGCTGCATAGTAGTCAAAGAGTTGAAACACATACATGCCACCCTGTGAAGGAAAAAAAATCAAAGATAAAGTTGGTTTGTTATGTGGTCTCGAATTCCCTTCATATATAAAGAGCTATGGCAAATGAATACATTTTTTAACACCAAAGAAAAATGGTCATAAGCTAGGATGACCAAATATAGGTACCTTTAAAAAAGAGAGAGGGAAAGAAAGAAAGAAAGAAAGAAAGAAAGAAAGAAAGAAAGAAAGAAAGAAAGAAAGAGAGAGAGAGAGAGAGAGAGAGAGAGAGAGAGAGAGAAAGAAAGAAAGAAAGAAAGAAAGAAAGAAAGAAAATGTAAAATATTCAGAACCAAGTATGGTGGCTCATAGGCTAACAACAAATACTCTAGAAGTCTAGACAGGTGAATTATTGTGAGTTCAAATTCAACTTCATTTTTGACAAAACACACAGGGTTGGGGGAGAGAACAACACATCTAAGCAGCACAACAAGTCACAAAAGTCTACACACAGGGCATCTTAAAACCAAGTGTGCCCAAGTCACGGGAACCAGTGCTTGGTGAATAGAGGTTGTCTGACTTTAGAGGGATTTTTTTAATGCTTTATAACCTTTATTTTTATTTTATGTGAATAGACGTCGTATCCACAAGTGTGTCTGTAGACCATGTATATGTTGGGTCCCCAGGAATAGAGTTTCAGACAGTTGTGAGCTGCCATGTGGGTGCTGGGAATTGAACCTAGGTCCTCTGGAAGAGCAATGAATGCTCTTAACCCCCAAGACATCTTTTCATCCACAGAGGGGGTGTTCTTACAAGCACTTCCCTAAAAGTTTCTTTTTTTGGTAAAGAAAAGTGAAACCCTGAACAGGGTTTGGGTAGTGATTGACAGCCTTCTCCTAGAGACTTCAGGCATGTCAGTGCACAGGGCGCAGGAAAGCATGCTCTGGGGATGCCAGGCTCATGCCTTCTTACCTGCCCTTTTCCATCTACTGAAGTCTCTAGCCTTCAACCTTTCTATTCCCTTCTGCTCCTGGCTTCTTTTCCTCCTAAAGAATGGTCCCCGCCCTCTGGGAAGAGCGTACACTCTCCTCAGCCGATACCCACACAAATGGTAGAGTACTTGCCAAGCAAGTGCCACGATCTTGGTTTGATCACATCTTAAAAAGGGGATATGGGGGAAGCTGCCTGATCATCTCGAAGCTGGACAGAATAGGGATTGGGAGCCAACCTAAAGGAGGTGTGGTAAGGGAAACCCCAATCCCCAGGCCCCTCCCCCAGCTGCAGCCTCCCCTGTGGCCTTGAGAAATACAAAAGTAGGAAGAGAAAAATCTCACAGCACCCAGAGTAGCAGCCACCTACCTCCGTCACCATCGTCAGCCCCAGCAGGTAGCTGATGCTACACACAATGGCGATGAAGATTTCCCGACGATAACCCTTCCTTAGGAAGGACGGGTAAAGATCAACCAAGGATGTGATCTGTCCTTCGACTTCAACAAACTGAGGGGAAAGAGGGAGAGAGAGAAGGGGTAAGGGGGCTCAATGCAAGCCTGGAGCTCAGAAGGAGGGCTGGGCTACTCAGGGTGGGATCTCATGAGACCCACCTGGGAATCCATGTAGCCAGACCCTGGGCTGTGTAGGCAGCCACTGTAGTCTGTGATCCAAGCAACTCAGGAAGTAAGACTGTACTCAGGCCATTCCCACCCTTATCACTGGAGACTCTGGAGGGAGCCGCTGTTTCTCTAGGAAGCCAGGGCCAGTTCTCTGCCCTGACACACTTGAGAGGAGGGGTGTGGCCATGACAGCATCCCTCCCTTTGTCAAGGCTGATGCTACACACATTAAAGCAATGCCTGCCTAACCCAGCCTTTCACAGGGGCTGCTCAGTTATAGTATGGTAAGGTCAACCTTTGCACTAACCAGTTGGGAGACTCTGGGCAAAGCCTGGCCTCAGTTTCCCCATCCAGAGCACTAAAGGTACTTCAGGTCTGACTCACATGGTGATTTAACCCACCAGAAATCTCGTGATCCAGGAATCTGTTGGTTTCAGACATAAAGAAAATTCTGGAACACACACACACACACACACACACACACACACATGCATATCATGTTCTAGGATGATTATCAGTTTTTCTAAATCTTTCCAATCTTGTACCTAATGATTTATCTTGGAAACTGTGCTATGTCCCTATGCAAAAGATCTGTCTTGTCTTTTAACAGCAGCATAAAACTGCACCCTCTGGACACATCACCTTTCACCTCACCCATGATATCCTGGCAACAACATTCAGTCTTTAGGCATGAATATACAAGTCTGTAACAAGGTCTTGGCAGTAGTTGGGGGTTTGAGGGCCACAGAAGTACTTAAATAAGAGGAGTGGCACCCAGACTGCTCTGAGTCATTGAAAATTTTAAATGCTAAAGGCTGGGCATGTAAACACCTGGCGGAGTGCTCACCTAGCAGGCAAAGGCCCGGAGTTTGTTCTGTAGCACTGCAAAAACAGGCACAGTGGTACACACTTGTAATCCCAGCAATCAGGAAGTAGAGGCAGAAGGCTAGGACATTTTCAGAGTCAGACCTGACTGAATTTGAGGCCAGTCTGGTCTACATGAAATACCATCTTGAAATAAAAAACCAAATAGGTTTGGGGACAGAAGTTCCTCAGGTATTCCTATGAGACAGATCCAACCATGGAGGCCTTTGGGAGATGGTGAGGGAGTACGAAAAATGAATGTAATCAGAGAGAAGATCTCTTTCACGCGCTCTAAGGGACAGAGAGAAAATCCCTTTCACGTGCCCAAAGGTACAGCACTCTGAGGCCAGAATTCAGAGGCAAGATGACCAAGAGGCTCTTAGGTAGAGCTCTGAGACGGGGTAGACCTCATGACCTGAAAAGCAGCTGAGTTGTGGCTAACAGGCAACCCCAGTGCCTAGCTACAAAAATGAGTTAAGACGAAAGGCTATGAACCAGAGCTGAAATCGTTTTTCTGGCTACAGAAAGGGCACAGGGAGCACAGCAGGGACAGGAACCATGTATAAAAGTCTGGGTGCAGTGGGCTGGGGAAGAGCGTGCGTCTAGCATGGGCCAAACCCTGGATCTCATGCCCAGCACTACAAATAAGAAAACTGTTGGTACAGGGCATGGGGATCAATGCCAATTGAACTGCACATGGGAAAGAAAATTTGCCATGCGACACCAGGCATGTGGTGACATCTCACACAGTGGGACTCTCTGCATCCCAATGTGGATCTATCTTCTGCAAAGCTCTATGTCTCCAGGTTCTGAGAACCATGACTGGAGACCAGCTGTCTCCTATTTCCTGGTCCACTTTTACTTGAGTGATGATACCATCAGGCCATTTAAGCACCAAACTTTGGGAGCCCTGATCTACAAAGCAGGGTAGAGGAGAACATCCCAAGGCAAGCTTTTACAGCACCCCCAGATTCTTCTCTCAGCCTATGGCTCAGCCTGGAGTCACACATCCTGCACTGAGTCCAGGTTCCCCCACTCCCAGCCACTTGAGAGCCTGCAAGGCCTATTTGGAGCCCTGGAAGATGTCAGGATGTCACGCTTAGCCACTTATTAACTTGTGTTTTTGTTTTCTTCCTCCCCTCTGAGCCTGGAAGATGTTCTAAAAGCCTCTAAAAGGCCCTGCATGGGGTCTGCTCCCAGGGCCAAGCGAGCTCTCAGAGCAGAAATCATTAACAGAACCTTGATTGTTTACAACAGTGTCTGCCCATCACCAACTCCAACAAGGATCTGTTTTTCTGGTTTAGAGAAGTTTTTGCTGTCTTCTCTGTTAATCTGACTCCCTCGGCTGCCAAGTCTTGCTCTGTGATCCTGACCTTGCTAGCTGCCTCCCCTCTCTAGACTCGTTCACCTCTACTGGATCTATGTCCCCAGGGACCCATACTGTCAGAGCCGTTGGAGGCCATGTCCTTGGAAAGAGTGATGAGGAGCTTCAGAGTCTCCAGACCTGATCTCACAGCCTATTTAAATCTGATGAACTTTTCCCAAGTATCTGGACTTGAAACCCACGACACACAGGAGTCTCTCCTGCCTTCCCAGTCTCTCCAGCTGCCTTGAGCCCATGGCCACCTGTCCCCCTCCTACATACCACAGTCTCCCTCCTGGAGTTTCAAAATATACTCCACAAAAAGAAAGTAACTTCAGAGAGAGGGACACCCAAGCCCCCATGAATCTCACAGACACCCGAATTCTCTATACCTGGCACTGAGCCTCGTGCTCCACAAACTGTACCCATTAGCCAGGATGAGGAAACTGAGGCTCAGAGGAAAGAGATGGATGTGGCCAGTGTCACACATAATGATGTTACCTCTCCTGAGCTAGATGCAGGCTTGCTGTCACCAACACTTCCTGGTGCTGAACTGCTACCTATGGAACCCTAGCAGAGGGCTGGCAGGATGTAGTCAGGAGCATTGGAAAACGGCTAAGGCATGGCTCAGGGTAGAGTGGGTGCCTGGTACATGTAAAGCCTTGGGTCCCACCCAAGAAATAAGATGAAGTACAGATTGGGGAGATGTTATAGCAATTAGGAGGGGGATGGCTGGCTTGAACCAAAAGCAGTCTGCCAGATGTGGTTCATCTTTTCTGGACCTACTTGGGACTGTGGTGACCCAGACAATGATTGACACATGCTGTGACATCTGTACCTCTGGGTCCAGGCCTTCTATTTCTCACTTAGAGTTTAACCTTAACCACGCCCCCAGTCACCCTCATCTCCTTGCTTGAGGTAACAGCCTTGAGCATCAGGGTGGAGGGTCTCCTCCCACTGCTGGGCTGAGGCCTTTTTCAACCCAGGGCCCTGGAGAAACCAGGTTGGAGGCTCTGAGGTGGGAGCTTGAGGGGGAATGGTCTGAACAGGCCTCAGCTGTGATGAGGAGGGTGAGGTGAGAGCTTGAGGGGGAATGGTCTGAACAGGCCTCAGCTGTGATGAGGAGGGTGAGGTGAGAGCTTGAGGGGGAATGGTCTGAACAGGCCTCAGCTGTGATGAGGAGGGCTTCTCACAGTGAGCACCACAGCCCGACACACACATACCTGGCTGTCCAGTCCAAGCAAGAGGAGCATAATAAAAAACAGAATGGACCAAAAGGTGGGCAGCGGCATCATGGTCACAGCTTTTGGGTAGGCAATGAAGGCCAAGCCAGGACCTGAGGGAGAGAAATGGGGAGGGGACACAGGAGAACACACATCAGCACCACGCTACTCGAAACCCTGGGCCTCACAGAACACTCTCATATGAGTAGGGAGGGGAGTCACCTAAGCCCAAAATACAGGAGGAGCCAGAGAAAGAGACCAGTGGGGCTCAGGAGGGGCCCCATGTAAGCATCTGTCTCCTATCCAGCACATGGCCTCCTCTCAAATTAAACCCCGTATGGACACAGGATCCTAGGGGCAGGGAGTGGGGCTGAATCTGAGGCTCAGGCAGCCAGAGATTTGGGAAAAGGAGGACCTGCCCCTCACACACCAAATCCGCATTGGTATTGGCTGGAAGGAAAGTTGTGGTTATCTGATTCGTTAAACCCTCCTTTGCAAAGAACCGTTTCTGTTTTTGAATTCATGGCTAAAACACTGTTTGAATGGAAAGAGAGAGGGAAAAAAAAAAGAATTTAGATACCCAGCAGGACATGCCTAGGGGGCCTCTGTCCCCCACAGGTACCCAAGTTCACACAAGGCAAGGTAAAACCAGCCAGGCCTGGCACTGAAGGGAGGAAGCGTGGGGCAGGACAGGTGCCTAGACCCAGGAGACTACCCACATCTCAGTCCTCATCCACCACTTCCTCTATGTGTTTGGGCAGGGGGAATCAGTTTCCCCTAACTGAAATATGAGGGTCCTTATGTTCAGATTCTTGGAGGTGGATGCCACTGCCCAGAAAAGGGCTCTGGGAAGACTCAGGGTACAGAGGAGACAAGCACTGTCCCCACTCTGAATGAATCTTACAGTATTATTTGAACACAAGCATCTCTGCTTGCAAAATCCCCCAACAAACAGACTCCTGGGGGAGATTAGCTAGCTGGTACTGAGCCCACTGGAGGGCTGACAAACCAAAGTAAAATCAAAACGACTAGAAACAAACCAAACCAATCAAGAAGAAATACGGGCCAGATTGCTGGAGACAGGGAAGATGTTTTACCCTTTAAAGCAAACATCATACAATCATCAAAACTGAATGAATGGCTTATGAAGAAGGAGGCTTGGGGGGGGGGGGAGGAAAAGAATCCACAAAAACAAACCAATTTTGGAAAAAAAAATCATTCAGTAAAGCATCAACAACCCCAACTGTGGCAGAGAGGACAAGTCTTACAATGACATCCGCTCACCCTGAGAAATGAGAAACCCTACTGAAACAACAACGTAGGGAAGCCACTGAGTGGATGCTAAAAGACTCTGTGAGGGGAAGGGGTGTGGCTGCTTACCAAGCCAGAAGCTGTTTGAATGAGCAAGACTGAGGGGAGGGGGCTCAGAAAACACACCTCCCACCTGGGACATCGTGAAACACACTTGGACTCAAATTAGAACCAAAAGCATTCGGTTTCCCATGAAAGCTCAAAGCTCTAGACTTGTTTTGTCAACCCCAAGAATGAGCAATCAGAGCTAGCCAACTACAAGACAGATGGAAAATGTGGTGTACCCCCAAACCTCAGCACCAGGCACTGTGAACAGAATCAGTTCACTTCTTTCTGTCCTTCACTTTAGATTTTCCCAAAGCAGCCTCAGGAGAGGGCCAAGCACCCTGCTCTACAACCACAGTAAACTGGGGAGGATAGAAGCCGAGAATACTTGGGCCACTGTGATGCCCTACCGGCACAGCACGCCACGTCCAGTCTGGGCTTCTTGGCTGTGCAATACCCTCGTTCAAATTCACTTTTCTTGTTATGGTGCTTGCCAAAAAAAAAAAAATCTTAGAGTCACTGTCCCTCTTGCTGCACTGGCTGCTCATACATCACTGTGGGGAAGGAGCGTGAACAAGGTCTTTGAAGTGAACAAAAGAAAGAAAAACAACCCACTTGGGTTTACTACACGTACGGCGTAAAAATGTCCATCATGCACAGAGATCTCTTTGATGGACCCACCCCATCTTTCTCCCATAACAAGTTTCTTCTGTGTTTTTGGTGAAACCCGGTTACAGGTTTGGAATCACTTTACATGTGTAAGTGGGGACTTTTGCAAAGTGTCCTTTGCAAAGGGGCTGGAAGAGGTGCTGGGCCCCATGCTAAATAACTTCCAACACATGAGGCTATGATCCAAGTCCTGTGCCCTCGAGCCCTTCCCTGCTTTTGGAGCTTCTGAGGATGGGAAAATAGTTCTTCTGAGTGTCCAACTGGGACACAGCAAAATAGGTATGTGTGCACAGTGTGGTGTTCACACTGGGGAAGGGTGTCTGTTATGGCCCAGCAGCAGACAGAGGATCTGAGGTCCCTGAGGTCCCTGAGGTCAGAGGATCCAGTGAAACAGCCACATTGGATGGCTCTCCAGACATGTAGTGAGTGGAGACTCAGCATCCAGATACATTGACTATGACCCTATCCTGCCCCAACCCACACAAAGACAGCCCATTCTTTGGGGCTCTTGATTTCAGCTGAGACGAGACATGAATATCTAGACAATCTAGACACACAGTGTCAAGGGACCCTCTGATCTTCCAATACCAAAGCTCAGGACCAGAGAACTGGGACATGATCCTACATTTCAAACATATGTAGATCAAGGGAAGAGAATAACAGGGACTTAAGGTACCTGCCCTAGTCTGCAAAAATGCCCAGAATAATGAAGGACAGTCTGCTCTATCTCACACCATCCCTGTGGCCTGGAGGAAGAACCAACCCAGGGCTCTTGGCAGCCTCCAGCAGGCTCCAGAGGGGCTGTGAGTAATTAGGTTAGATAACACCTAACCACCCTCCAAGAGAATGGGGTGGGGAGGTGGCCCCTGGGGATATCCACCCCAGAACCCCATCCACTACAGGGCTAAGTTGTAGGTCTAAGCCCAGTCCTCAAGCCCAGTCCCCTAAAATACTGTGATGAGGTAGCAGGGGTCTAGTCCACATTCCAGAACCATCTCTGCTGGAGTTCTGGATCCCATGTTGCTCAGGAAGAACCCCACTCTGTGCAGAGCCCATGACCCTAAGATTGACCATCTATCCTGTGAAGTTTGGCGTCTTGAGTAGCAACATGAGACCAAGAGGCCCCCAACTCCCTAAAGGCAACAGTGTCCTCCTATCCTTCCCCCACATCAGCTCTGTCATGGCCCCTCGATCCTGGTGACTGTGTGGCAGCTGGGAGGGGTGAGGTTTGGTAAACATATATAGGAAGGACTGAAGAGTGGCTTGGCATTGGAGCTCGCCAGGAGCCAAATGCAAACCACAGAAACCAAGGCTGAGGTGCCAGCAGCGCTGGTGATGGCGTGCTAGCTGTGGCTGACCTGGGCCTTAATTAGGAAAGCAACTTCCATGGCTAAAGCCAGCGGTTGCTGGGGAAGTGTTGGGGGCTGGAAGACCACAAGTAAAGCAGCCACCAAGTCTCATTTCAACCGCCCTTGTTCCTCCCACCTTCAGTGGGCCAGAATGCACTGAAGACCTTTAAATGTAGCCTTTGTATTCAGGTATAGGAGCACATCTTAGAGGGGGAGAGGGGATGTCTATGTAAAAGCCAGGCTCCCTCCATCCCCCTGGGGTCCGGCTCCATGCCTGCAGTACTCATCTTACACACTAGGTGGCAGTGCCCACCACCACTGCCACCGACACCACCGTACCTGACTCAGCCACATCAGCAATGTCCACCCCTTGCTCTTGTGCCATGAAGCCCAGGATGGAAAAAATTGCGAAGCCAGACACAAAACTGGTACCACTGTTCAGGCATCCCAGCAGCATACAGTCCCTAAGTTACACACACGTCAGGGGGTAAGTTAATCACAACACAAGGAAGCCACGCTCCCTACTTCTCTTTTCTTTAATCATCATTTCTAAGGTCCACCGGGCCCGCCAGCGCGACACTTGCCTGTACGAGTTATACTTGTACTTGTTGTAGCTTCCCAGTGAGGTCATGGCCCCCAGGCAGATAGCGTAGGAAAAGAATATCTGAGTTCCAGCGTCGATCCACACCTGAGGAGGGGAGGAGCATTAGGGCGGTTGCCTGGGGTGAGAAGAAGGGCCTAGCAATGAGAGAACTTCTGACCAACCATAACAATGTCTACACAGGATCCAGGGTTGGTGAGCGGCAAGGAACCCCAGAGGGCAGATCTAGAATCCCAGAGGAAGATCCTCATCTTCCTGCATCAATTAAGGCCTCTAACGCTGGAGTGACCAGTGCCACTCCTGAAACCTTGTTTTGCATAGCTATAGAATGGGCCCCTAGCCTACCCTGCTCCTCCAAACAACTTTCATCACTCAGTAAAGAATGGGTCTTTTCTCTGAGTCTATTCCTAAGTCGCCATGGTTGACAGACATCAAGCACATCAAGACCACTTTAACGGCTGTGATGGCTTAGTCTGGAACCTAAGTTAGAACACAAGGCATCCCTTATCTCTCCAGGCACTACAGCTTGTAGCTCTGGAAGGCAGCAAGCCTACCTTCCCAGCTCACAGCTCAGGCTGGCCACCAACCCTGCTCTGCTCCAATTTTCAGTTGCTTCCCAGGGGCTTGGGAGCCTGGGACAAAGTTCTCAAAGGGCACACAAAAGCCTCCAGGGGTTTCACCGACTCTGACACTCCTCAGCTATGTGCTGAGACAGGGGGACTTACAGTATGACCCCCTTAACCTTCAGAACACCATCGATCCTATCTGAGGATGGCATCTTGAACATTGAGTCTCTGGTCCTGGTGTAGATGGGGCAGGAGCCTTTGCCTTAGCTGGTGCTTGTCTGATGCCTTAGCAGGCTCTAGCTCGGAAGGACTGCAAGCCACTATTGGCCCAGTAGAGAAGTACCAGGCAGCGATGTTTGGCTATACACAGGCATCAAAGAGCCAGAGGAAACACTACCACCTGTACCCTGTGCACCACCAGTTTATACAGGGCCTTAGGATCAGGTACTCCACACTGCTCTACCTGTGGGTCCTCAAGGCGGCTGATGTCAGGATACAGGTAGAATTTGATGCCTTCACCAGCACCTGGCAGGGTCAGTCCACGGACCAGCAGCACCAGAAGCATGGCAAACGGGAAAGTAGCAGTGAAGTAAACAACCTGTTGGGTGAGAAGGAGTCGGGTAGACTTGTGAGTAGCCTTGCTTCAGGGAAGTGTGGGCAATCCTCATCTCCCAGGTGCAGCAATGACCCTAGAGACACACACTGGTCTCACCTGCTGTACAATCTTCAGTGTGTTGCTTGACCTCTGAGCCTCTGCCACCTTACCTAAATATGACATAAGGCTCTGTCTTACAGATTAAAAGAATTTGCTGTGGATAATTTACATAGCTCATTCAGGCTCAGAATTTTAAAAAGCAGGCAAGATGGAAAATGAATCCACTCTTTGAAGAGATGATGCACTCAGAGGGAAAAAAAATACAGACAACATACAAACTGAATCAACTATCAGGGATGTAGGCAACAGCTCAGCCTGTGGTCACATGGGCTGTCACATGGCACTCAACACATATCAGCTGACATTACAGCTGTCAGTATAACATGGGGGTAAAGAAAGGGCTGAGGGGGTGACACAGTGGCTGAGAGGGCTGGCTGCTTTTGCAGAGGACCCAAGATTGATTTCCAGCATCCACGAGGCGGCTCAGAACCATTGGAAATTCCACTTGCAAAGGATCTGACATCGTCTTCTGATCATCTCCGACACCAGGCACAAACATTTATTTAGGCAAAATACCCACATACATTAAAAAATAAAAAGCAGACAGAAGCAGGTGTAGGGGCACATCTGTAATCCCAGCACCCAGGAGGCTGAGGCAGTGTTCAAGGCCTGCCTTGGGGGTGGGGGGGTGGGGATACATAGTGAGACAAGGGGTCAGCTCCAGCTCTGAGCCTTCTCCTGCTGAGAGATGCAGGCCATGTTGGTCACTCTCTCTGGCTTTCTTCTCATATAAAATGAGGACAAGAGTCACAGCAGCCCTTTTTCAGGGAAGGGTGAGGGTTTACAGTCAGACACACAGCCTGATTGACAGCAACAGGAGAGGAGGTGGGTGGGAACGTCCCTAAGTTCCCAGAATGGGAAAGGCTCAGCACTTTCCCAGCTTACAGGAGACCCACAGGGCCACACCCTGTGTTCCAGCAGGCCAGGGTTGGGATGAGGAAGAAATGGGTAATAATGTCCTCTGCCTGGTCCTATGAGCTGTTTGGCCACACCACTGTGGGGCAGTTGGGCTTTACAATGGGTAGAAGACCTGAGGGAGGCCGTACTTTCTAGGAGGTCAAGCCCCTTGGAGAAGAACTCAAGCACAGTGCCTGGCAGCTAGTATCACTACTCTTCTTTCTGTAGACTAGGTGTCCCTACTTTAAGGGGAGAGACATGGATGGGATAGGTTCCCAGCTCTGAGGCTAAGATAAGAATATGAATTGGCCCAAAGTGTCAGCTGGAGTCCATTGCTCATCTGTCCCACCTCCCAGTTGGCAACTGTGGCTGCCACTTCAAGGGGGAACTCTGACCTCACTCTCTACCAAGGTCTTCAGGGAGTGTGTGGAAACACTTAACATCCCAGACAGTGGTAGCATTCTACAAGGCTAAAGGCGGGCCCTCTCCGGCCGTCCCCCCTCCCTGGGTGCCTTTTTCCTCTAGGCCTTCGTGTCCCAGCCACCCTTGTTTCTTTCCCCTTGATGGACTGACAGACACCCGGATACCTGGGACAAAAGCCAACCAGGAAGCCACTAAAAGTATAAAAGAAAGAAAATCCTCCTGTCCCCTCCCTTCCTGTGATAGGCAGACACCCCTGGCCAGGTCCCCTCTCTGAGGCCCTGCAAAGCCACACCCAAGCTGGTAAACAATGGCCACAGACAGGAGCCACAGGATTCCCCAGAGGGCTACAAACACTTCAAAGTAAGTGGATTATGGCCAGAAACACTGGTGGGCTCGTTGGGGTGGGGAGGGCTCCCTGGCTTGCTTCTTTAGCAAGTCTACTACGGGCTCAGCCCGGTGCTATGAACTTACTTAATACACACCTTACCTGGATGAGCCATTACAACATGTCCCTTCCTTTGTGAGCAAACAGGTCATATAGGGCCATGTCACCTGTCTGGAGTCCCCAGTTAGAAGGAGGGGTCAGAGGTGGGATCTGATCTAGGCCAGGTACTTTTGGGGCTCCCCTATCTTTGGGAGTGTCACTGTTGCTGCCACCCCCTAGCACACTGTCCCAGCCATCTCTCTAGAAAAAGCTACCCTTGTTTTGTAGCCTTTGCTACTCCTTGGATGAGCCTGAGAGCCATTCTCTCAACTTTTCCGTGACTGTCCCTCGGGAATCCTCTAGGGAGAGGCTGGTGCCAGGCGCCACCTTGGGCCCCTGACGGTGGCCCAGTAGGCTTTGCTGTGGGACGTGGTATTTTTCCACTCCTGTTGCTGAACTTTCATAACAGGGCCAGAGGCCTTGTGAGAAATGGAGGCTTAGGGGGCACCTCATCCCTGGCCTTCTGGAAGTTGGTGGGTTGCAAGAGGGAGCTAGCTTCCAGTCTCCTGCTACTCAGCTTTACTTGGGAACAGATAGCCTAGCCAGCAAGGTCATTCAACTACTCACATTTCACCAGGGGAAACTGAGGCTGAACAGATAAGAGGGATTCATAAAGTCATTCCATTTATAATGGACAGAGCTGAGTCCAAACTCAGAACTAGCCCTGACTGCCCCTTTCTGATTTGTTTCTGACAAAACAGGCTGTACTGGAGTGTGACCACAGACCCAGCCACACACACGTCCAAGCCCTTCCAGTCAATCTCCTTGTGAGAGTAAGCAGGAGTATGCCAGGCTTCTGCCTCCCTGCACCTGCCAGCCAGCACAAGGATGAGACTAAGAGGTGGGAGAAGGGAACTGCCTGAGTTCAAATCCCAGTTTGGCTACTGACAAGCTATGCAGCATTGGGACAGTTAGTTAAGCTCTCTGAACCGCAGTTTCAATTGTACAGGATCAGAGAACTTCAGGAAGATTAAGCAAGCTGCCACCAGCATGGAGGTGCCACGCGAATATCCCAGCTACCTGGCTTGTTGAACACGTGAAAATGATATTCATTCTGGGACCTGTTTCAGACCCTCGGAGAGTTGGAAAGGCCAGGAAAGAAAAGCCAAGCACCTGAACTTGGGTCCTCCATCCATCACCCTCCCATCTCCTGGACTAAGTTAGCCACGGAAATAAACTTGGCCACGGTGAAGGCTCAGCCCCCAGGGCTGGGAGTCTGGTGTGCAGCCAGGGCTGGAAGCTGAAGCCAGCCAGCGGGTGGGCCTCTGGATGGGGGAGGCGGGCAGGCGGATGGCCTCTGAAGGCCTCTCAGCACTAGGCTGGAGGGAGTCCACAGAGCTGTTTGTCTTGGCTTCTCTGACCCATCAGGGTCACTATTGTTCTAGGAACCACAAGTAGGGTATAGCTCAGGGTAGGTCAGGGTGCCTCTGGCCAGTCACGTTTTGGTGGTAGCCACAGCTACAACCTGGCACCCCCTATTTGCACTTGGCTCTGTCCCCATTGCAGTGTGATGTGTCTCAAATAATGCTGACTATGCCTTGTGGACATCAACCTCCTCCACAAGACCGGAGGACTCCCTACATCCTGGCCATATGCACTCCAGGGCCTTACACTGACCATTGCCTCTTCCTGCAACCCCCTTCAGATACTCAACTCTCTCCACCCTACTCCTATTGACTCGTCACCACAGTCACCTTTGCCCAGCCACCCTATACATGGCACACGGGTCCCATGCTCATCTTTCTGCAGCCTAGCTCTTCCCAGCCTGCCATACACATTGATCATGATGGATCCTTTACTCTGTTTCTACAACTGGACCCACACACAAGAGGCTCAAAGGACTGACTCTCTCCAGCATGCTCCAGCACCAGAGATCCCCAGAAACTCCCTGACAGACTAGCTTCTTTGTGGGAAAAAGAGGCCGAGGGCAGAAGGCAATTGCTACTTCCTCGAGAGTGCAGGGCAGGTCCATTGGTCCGTAGACCTGAGTCTTGATATACCTCATCTCAACCCTCAAATTCACTGTTAACAGCTGAGGGGCAGGCAGCTCAGGAGAAGGGCTGCTCTCAGACAAGCTGCCTGACCTCTTATGAGCCTCAGCTTCCTCAGTGTTTAGAGGAGAATAACACACACACTCCCAGGGAGCTATAGGAAGCACAGTGGGCAGGGTCCCTAAGAGAACAGGCAACATCACGTTGCCTCTTTCTGTTTGTCCTATAGAGTGATGCTAGCAGAGAGTGGTCCAGGCCTGGCTGGCTTCCCTTCAGACTGAGGTTCAGTAAAGCAGGGGGCTCTGAACCCAAGTACAGGAACAGTGATACAGAGCAGCTGGATCCCCCTGCTTCACCATCTCTTCTAAACTTGGGGTGCTGCCAGATCACTTTGCAAAGTTAGGGTCCACACTACGGGCTGATAATCAAAGCCAGCAGTAGGGCTGCCGCTCGCCTCCAGTTCGGCTAGCCTTGCTCACCACACCAACGGTGCACATCAAGAAACAGGACAGTGGCTGCTGACAGAAGCTCAGTAGGGACACCTGGCTGCCCGCCAGTCATGAAGTCACTAAGCTCCTGACCAGTGACTGGGTGGTGGACACCCAGGGTCCTTACCCAGTGAGAGACAATGGCACACAGGGCTGTGTATATGTCTTGTCAGAGCACTCCTGTGTCCCAACATGTAGCACTTATTGAAAGGTACTTCAGCCTTCAGGAGAAGGCTGTCTCTAAGGCAGGGGACGGGAAGTCCACTCACCTTGCCTGTGGATCGAACACCCTTCCAGATGCAGAAAAAACAGACAAGCCAGACTAAGAGGAGGCAGAGCGCGAGGTCCCATTTCAGACTGCCTGGGTCGTCAATTCCGGAGGACAGGCTCAGCACATTACGCCTTTAGGGAAAGAGAACAAGAGGTCAGGGGTCAGGGGCCTCTTGGCAGCTAAGCTAGCATGGGCAAAAACCTGAGTTCTGTTTCTGGCACCATGACAAAATAAAATACAAAATGCTTATTTTCATTCCAACACTGGGAGGTTAAGGCAGGCAGGATTGCCTCGAATTTGAGGCATGCCTGGGCTACATTGTGAATTCCAGGCTAGCCTGAACTACAAAGTGTGACCTGTTCCCCCCATCCCCACCCCTCACTGGCAGCCTCTGCCCCAGGCTATGCATGAGCACAACCCCTGGGGGTCCCCATTTGTCAGGAAAAATCCAGAGTGGAGCAGGGGGCAGGGCAGTCAAGAAACTGCGGGATTCTTATTAGGTGATCTCAGGCTCCGTCCACTCTGGCCATGAGCAAGTCAAGTCCCTGAGCCTCTGTTTCCTCATCTGTAAAATGGAGACTGATTTAGTTGGTTGAGCAAAAAAGTGCTTGCTGCCAAGGTTGCTGAACTGGTCTGCACGCATGGGACCTGCATGGTGGAAGTAAAGGACTGGTTCTTTCAAGTTGTTTTCTGAACACACAAACACATACACACACAGACACACACACACACACACATTTTTAAACAAGGATTGATTATCTGCATGACCCATGGTTACAACGACAACCTTCAATTCTGACTATGGGGAAAACACTGGGTTCAAATCTCAGCATCTCTTCAACTGCTAACCTTGGTCAAGTTACCTAACCACCCCAGGCCTCTCTCAATGTGTAAAATAGGTATGACTCCCTTCCCAGCAACCTCTGTGCTAGCTTCCTTGATATAACTCTGATTGTTAGCTGGGGATGGTGGTATGCACCTGTATCTCAAGCTGAGGCAGGAGGATTATGAGTTCCAGGGATATATAGTCAGATCCTTTCTCAAAAGAACAAACCAAATCATCATTATCAACAACAACAACAACAACAACAACAACAACAACAAAAATACCCTGCATATTATCTAGATCTTTCCCAGAAAGGTAAAATGGGTCCTGTATGAGCACAGGGTACCCATCTTGCTACAGTGGCTTATGAGGAAAATACCACAGAGAAAAGTCTGACACCTTACCAAGGTCTGGAGGTAGCTGGCCCCTGATACACCTGATCACATACTGCAGGATATGAGCATACACAGAGAGAAGCTGCTGGTATACAGCAGGTGCTTAAGCAAAACCCTGTCTCAAGAAGAGGCAGGTCCATGGCTTTCAGTACAATTCCCAGGGAGAAGAGGCCATTAGTCCTGCTCAGGGTCATACAGCCAAGCTGGGGTCTGTGGAGTCAGACCTATGTGCTGACCTCCGGTCATCTTTGCTAGTCTCTGCTGTTTACACACACTCACTTTCACTGGAGCCCTCTCTATAGGGAAGAAGCCATAGGAAGCAGCATGAGGTACTTACAAAATGGCTGTGAACCCTACCACCCAGGTACCCAGTGTCCCGCAGCGCCCCTGCTGAGCATGCAGACCTCTTCCCTGGACACTGGCCACCCACAGCTGAGAGGACACGGGGTCTCCACACTCCAGGAATCCCAGACAAAGACTATTTCTTTCTAGCTCTGGGTCCCAGGCTGCCCTCCAAGCAGGAGTAAAAACTTCGAGGCTGCCCTCTAAGCAAAGCAACGTGGGAATGTCAAATACATCCCAGGGTCCCTCTCGAACAGCCTCCAGCAACACGTGGCCTACAGTTGTTCTCAGGATGACACCTGGAACACAGTGGAATTCAACAAACACCCACTGAATGAATGAACCACCAGGGAGAACCAAACCTCACACTCTGGATGGATGGATGGATGGATGGATGGATGGATGGATGGATGGATGATGTTGTCCCAAGCCTAAAGGAGAAGCAACTTTTCTTGATCTTTATCCTGCTGTTCACAGTGGCATCAGTACCTCTCACTGTGTAGCTAGAATAGTGTACGAGCCTCACACAAACAAAAGCCTGACTGTGTGTCATTATCTCATTCATTCCAGGGGGTAGAACTCACTAACCCCATCTCACAGATGGGAAAACCAAGGCTTGGAGGGTCCATTTGCCCACATCACAAGGCCACCAAAACTCCAGGCCTGCCTGATTCCAAAGCTACAGTTCTCTCAACTATGTTGCAACATGGTCTGATTTTAAAAGAAAATAGCACCTGCTTTTAAAGGACCTCTAGGAGCTAGTGAGCTAGCTCAAAGGTTAAGAACACTGCTTTTCCAATGGATCTGGGTTTAATTCCTAGCACCCACATAGTAGTTCACAATCATGTATAGTTCCAGTTGCAAGAGATATGGTGCCCTCTTCTGACTTCTAGAGGCATCAGGCAAACACGTGGCACACACACACACACACACACAAACACACTCTCTCTTATACACACACACACATACACACACAGAGAGAAGCAAAACATCTATAGATATAAAATATAATTTAAAACAATTTTAAATAATACAGGAGCCTCCAGTCTCCACTGCAAGCTGGGATCATCTGGTGCCTCAGGGCAGCATCATGGGGTACCTTCACAAAGCAGGCTAACAGTCAATTAGGTCCAGTTGGGCTCCTGCCAAGCCGAGACCTGGCAGCACCACAAAACAAAAAGCCCTTCCCATTCAACGTTCAGCACTTGGGTGCCAGCCATAGAAGCTCAAAGCACAGGGAGAAACAGCCCACGCTCCCTTGAATGGGCCACATCAGGGGAGAAAAATATGGCCCTATTCCACACCTTCACACACACAGCCCTCTCCCTGGCCTGCCATTCCACAGGCGTGCCCTCCACTGCTGATGTTCCAGGTGACTTGCCGAAGCCTGCCTTTCTTCCCACTGGCTCCGACCACTCCATGGACAACATGCTGACAGCATCTACTCCATTGATGTTTAGCCATAAAACCATCATGTCTCTGTTTTTTGGGGCAATCCTTCAAGAGCCTCAAAATTCCAAAGCCAGATCTTCCTGGTCCTGAGAGCCCCATCCAGAACACAACCCCTTACTATCCATTCTCACCACCCTGCTAGGCAAGCCACCCACTGCTGCGAGGCGCTGTCAAGCAGAGTTGCTCTGGGCAGTTAAGACAAATAGGAGTCCTTTGATCCTCTGCTGCTGGGGACAGTCCCTATAGGGTCTCATGGTGGCATCCAGACATTTTAAGGTAGATTTCCCTGACTCAGTAACTCCATTTCCAAGACCATCTCCTATTATTCTTCCAGCATGGGGGCTCATAGACAAACTATTCACCAAAGTGCCCCCCTGTAGGGTACAGTAAGCTCTGGGGCAGGCACACTGGAATACCACACAGCCGACAGACCAGTGTCAAGTTCTTGATGTACTGATAAAGCAGTGTAACACCCTGGGGGACAGAGTGAGCCAGCAGCACAGGGGACATCTGCACAGGATGGTTGTTGTGATAGAAAGAAACTGAACATACACCAGCAAGCGGGCATTGCCTGGGGACAGGGACTCAGCAATGAATGCAGTTCTTTGGCTGTGTGTCTGTGATACATCTTTATAGATATATTTAAAAGGTTTGGTGGTGATGGTGGATTTTTTTTTTTGACACAGAGTCTCACATAGCCCAGGATGGCTTTAAATGGTTGATCCTCTTGCCTCTACCTAAAATTATACAATACTGAAATAATAAAGGTCCATCCTCAGGCTTCACATAGCATACCAGGGCCACAAAATGTTCTGTCAGGTTCTGGCAAAGCCCCAGGCAGGGCTGAGCTGGAGAGTAGCCAGTCACCTGAATCCCAGCAGGGACCATCCACTAGTCCTCTCTGTATTGCTCCCTCCCCCTGGCCCTTCTCACAGCTTTGAGTGGAGCTGTGCATGAGAGAATGCTGCCACAGGGCTCTCTTGGGTGCCTCCTACATCCCCCCACAACACCCTGCTCAGGCCCTACCGCACCCCCAAGCCACTATAGTAACTTCTTCCCAGCCGCCCTGCTATATCGCCCTCCACGCTTGTCAGAGGGACCCCCTAGTGTCTTCGATGCCAGCTCACATCCCTCCTGAGCTCCACATCCTCCCACTTCCATCCTAACCAGTCCCTGTCACCGTCCACTCAAAGCTATACGCTTGAAAGAATGTGGAGAGCACCTATCAAGAAGACTAGGACAGCGAACACAGGAAGCCAGACACTGTGGGTGTACAGCTGTCTACCTCTCTCCCTCACCGGCCCCTGACTTCTTCCTCAGGGGTCGTGTGTGGTTCCTGAACTGTGGAACTCATGGTTTCCTCAGCTGTACAATCCCACCATTCCCAGACAACATCTCTCCAGGGTTCTCACTGCTTCACCTCTGCCCAGGGCACCCTGCATCAAGAGCACCCCAGCCCTCTCCTTCCCCAGCAGTCAGAGCTTTTCCGTTATGATCATACTTTCTGACTGGTTAACATGTCTGTCTATTAGCAAGCCAGTTCTGTGTACATGGGACCTGCATCTGTCTCGAGCACAGCAGCTGGCACATGAAGGAGCTCGCCTGAAGTTCGGTGAGGAAACTCATTACAGTCATTTGGTAGCTGGGGAAACTGAGGCTCAGCCTCCCTCTGACCCTAGGCAATCATCAACCTTGGAGCTGATTCCTTTCTTTCTGATGTCCCCTGGGGTGCATAAGTGAGCCTCAGCTCAGGGCTCCCAGGCTTGGACTCCTCACTATCTTCCAGAGGTAAGCTGCAGATCTTTTCCAAGAAAAAGGGCTACATCTTGCCAGGATGGGAACTAAAAAAGAGTGGCCGGGCCTGGACGTGTGTTTGCAGCCGGCTGCCCTGCTGCCGTCCAGTCAGCACTTGGAGATGTAAATTCACCCTCAGAGTGGGCCAAATCGTTTCCTTTTGACTGCAGGCCAGCCATTTATTGGCTGCAGCAGTCCCCTGGAGACTGGCAAAGGGAACAATTATAAAGAGGCCGTCCGCCTGCCTGAGCATGGGGCCCCCACACAGCCCTTCCCGCACCACCTCCTCCTTCCGACAGCGACAGCTATGGAGGAAGATTGGCTGAGCAGGGCTTGTTTGCAAATATGACTCATTTCTTTGATTCTAATAGAATCTAATGATCCATGCTGGGCTCCCAGGGGGTTCTGCAGGAGCCTCTGAGGAAGGCCTGGCTCCAGCCTGCTGAAGGGCTTTTGGCCAGACCTGGCCCCGCCTATCCTCTAAGGCCTGTGAGGGAAGCAGGAGGTTTAGAGACAGAGGTGACCTCAGAGGGTGAGGACCAGTGTGGGATGGGGCCATCGGGGCAGAAGCTCTGGGACCCCATCATGCAGCCACTAAACATATCCTAATGTCAACATAAAATGTCAGTCTCTGGAGCCTCCTAGCTTCTCCTGGGAGCTGCTGAGACTGAGAAGGTTCCTGGCTTTACAGACAGGTTAAGTATGGCAGGGTCAGTCCATGATATAGACTCCTGATTCAGGAGTCCATGCCTGACTGAAAAAACACAGATGTGCATACACACAGGAGGCAGCATACCATGTGACCTGTGACCATGGACTCGGCTCCAGGGCCTGCCCTGTATCATGGGTGTTGGAGGAGGGGTGGGACACAGACAAAAGGATCACTAAGAGTGGACCTTTGTCCATGTTGGCTCCCCGGAACCCTAAACCCCAAAACTTATCCAGGTGCCTTAATGCCAGGGAGCAGAAGTGAGTGTTGGGGCTGAGCTAACGCTGGCTCACAGAGCATATAAGGGGACTCAAGCCTGGCATTCCAACTGCCCTGACATCAGAGGGCTGGACATGTGGGAGCTACACTTAAGCCATACTGGGGAGGGGAGTTGCCCTCTGAGGTCTTCCTGCCTCCTTGGTAACCAGCACATGGGAGGGGCAGCAGGATGGCTGATAGAGTCATCCAGTGATTAGAAACTGGGGTGGAGCGGGGGAGGTGGGGAACTCTGCACCCACCAAGCCCAGGATCAAGGGGTGAGACTCTGCTCCCACCAAGCCCATTACTTCTGGCTCCCAGACCTCAAGATTTGCAAAAGAAACAAGGGAAGACTGCCTGAACCTGAGCCAGCAAAGTGAACAGCCCTGCACTCGCCTACTCGTCTCTGACAGCGCCAGATCACAGCGTGAGGAAGACAGGGGAGGCTCTTTAGCAGGAATGCACAAGAGTTTCAAGGACAAGGCAGAGAGCAAGCAAGAAGCCAACAAGTGCCCTTTACCTGCACTAGAGGGTCCATCAAGGAGTGTGGTGTGCACAGGAAGGGTGGCTGTATCCTGCATGCATGATGGCAGGTCAGTGAACTGCACATGAAATGTGAGTTTCCCACAATGCTTTGCTCTTTCACCTACTTAAGAAAATCTCAGGATCTAGCGAGAGAGTTGATTGGAAAAAAGCACTTGCCTCTAACAACCTGAGTTCAGTCCCTGGAACTCATGTAAAAGTGTAAGGAGAGAACTGAGCCGACATTTGTTGCCCTTCGACTGTCACACATGTACCGATGTGCTTACTCCAGCCCTCCTAAAATAAATGAAGAGGAGGAAAAGAAAAAGAAGCAGGAGCCTCTGCCATCGACATAGCTCGTTGCTCTCACCCTTTTGCCTTCCTTTCCACTGTTTCAAACCCAATACAAGGGTGGGTTCTCAGAAGCAGGAAGCCCTATAGATTTGCCGATGCTCCTACCCACTGACAACCTCTGCACACAGATCAGCAAGAAGCTGCCTGGGTCTTCACCTCAGCTTGCTCAGTAGTTCTGCTCAAGGGACCCCAGGTTCATGCTAAGGAATTCTTAGAGGTTCTTCTAGAATTCAAAGTCAGGTCCAGCGTCTGTTCAGGCCAGTGTGGGCAGACGTCAGCACTCATTGAGCCAAGTATATCCACGGACACCACAGAAGAGCCTGCACAAGAGCCTAGAGAACCAGGGGTTTTCCTAATGTGATCTTGTCTCTGCTTTCCTGATGAGGCACGAAAGCCATGGCTTATAGGACACAGGGGTAGGTGTTAGAATAGACTCTGGCTGGGGATGTCTGAGCAGGGCACTGAGCAAAGGTCTTCCAAGATCCTCATGTCATAATGACAGGTACCAGGCAAAGGCGAAAAGAATGTGACTCCCTTGTCACCAGAGCCTGTGGGCATTTGAGAGGTTACATACAGATTCTAAATGTCCCAGAAAGGATGTTTAATCACAATGATGACATGACATATTACCCTGAAGTGAAGGAGCAGCTTTTCAGGGTAGCTATATAGGGACTCATCCAGCTGGGGCTGCAGTGTGGTCCCTAGGACATAGGACACTGAGGCCTGGAGAAGAGACTACATCTGCCCAAAACAGAAGTGACAGAACACAAGTTCAAACTCAGGAGGTAATGAGGTTCAGCAGATACCCCAGAAGCTGGCCAGGTGCCAGAGGCCTGGGAGGGGCAGCCCTGGTGTCCAAGCCATGCCAAGAATAGTACAGAAAGGCCAGGGCTTGTGGCCTTGGGCCCATTCAAGGGAAAAGAGTGAAATGCCAATATTCCTTTGTTCAAAACCTCAACTATCTGAAGGGTGGGGAACATGCTTTTAACACTCCCTTTGTTTGCTGGTGGAAAATATACACATCAGGAGACCCAAAGTCCCCAAAGCCCCAGGCTCTGCCTGGAAATGTGATACAAAAGGCCCAGGCATGGCATAGGCCACCCAAATAAGACCTCCTGAAGATGAGAACAGCCGACCCATCCTTGTAGGATCATAGCTTCCTTGAAGCCAAGGAGAGGGATTCTCATCTTGTGGTAGTCTGGGACAAACCTTCCTCTCCCCTGGCTCTTGGCTAAACATGAGGCCTCATCTCAGTCATTTCCAGAGGTGAGAGGCTACCCTTGACTGAGCAGCCCAAATTAAGAGCACATGCTTGTAGGGAAAGCTTATAGGGAAAGTGATGTACTCAAGGGTTTCTAATCAACTTCCATGAACTGTTAAGATGTCCTGAAATGCAAGCTCATGAGAGTTACCCAAATGCCGTTAACACAAGATTATCTACATGCTGGGACTTGCCCCATCTGTTACTCCTGAGTGACCTGTAACAAGCCAAAGGGGGAAGACTAAGAGATGAGGTCACAGAAGCTATTCACTCCTAACGCTTGCTCCCTTCTGAGGCCACCCACTCCACAAAAGAACTACCCACCAGACACATCAAGAGCAGACCAACCAAACTGAGCACAGCCCAAACTACCAGCAACTAGTCATGAGCTCAAAAAATAGTACTTGGCTAAAACCATCAAGTTTGGAGATGGTTGTTACACACTAAGAGCTAACTGATGGTTTTTTTTTTTTTTTTTTTGCTCTAAACTCACCTTTTCATTTGCATAACTACATAAATGCCATTTTTCCTCTGTGTGATAAAGAATGTTTTTCCTAAAATACATGAAGAAAACTATAATTTTCGGCTGGGCGGTGGTGGTGCACGCCTTTAATCCCAGCACTTGGGAGACAGAGGCAGGCGGATTTCTGAGTTCAAGAGTTCGAGGCCAGCCTGGTCTACAGAGTGAGTTCCAGGACAGCCAGGGCTACACAGAGAAACCCTGTCTCGAAAAAAAAAAAAAAAGAAGAAGAAGAAGAAAAAAACTATAATTTTCAAACTCCTGTACATCTATCAACAGGAAACCAATAGAATAAGAATGATACATTTTCCTCATCTGACAGTTAAAGAAACTAAAGCTCAAAGGTGAAATAAGAGTGACTTCCCTACAAAAATCAAATAGCTGTTTAGTGGTAAACTGGGATTCAGCTCTAGCTTGTCGTGGAGTTTTCTCCAGCTGTGTGTCCTCCTTCCCTCCAAGAGACAGGGTCTGTCACAATCATAGAGGAAGATACTGTCCCCTCTAGACCTGCCCACGCCACTCCTCCCTCCCACGATGTAGCCTTACTCCCAGAACTCGATGACAGGCGAGGTGAAGTTGACGGTGCTAAGGGAGACCCAGTGAGTCTCGTTCCTACGCAGGGTGTCCTCCATGCACTGTGGTGTGTTCCAGCTATGGTTGCAGTGGGCCCAAGGAAGATCCTTCTGGAAAGAGTGGAATAGGTAGTATGTGGCCCAGGCCAGGATGACGATGTAGTACACGTTCAGGAGGGACACGATGACGATGGACGCATAGCCAATGCCTGTGGATGGGGCAAGCAAATGGGCACGTGTCACAAAGGAAGCACTTTCAACTGAGAGGCACTGGTGTGCCCAGGCTGTGGGACAAAGGGGCCTTCTCAATAGTAAGCAGGAAAGAGTCACTGGATGAAGAAGCAACTGGATAAAGGGACGCGTGACTTAATGGTTTGAGAAATGGCAGCTGGAGGAGTCACAGGATGAATGCTGGGACAGGATAGATGTACAGTTAGATGGTTGGATGGAAACATGCATGGATAGATAGATAGATGGAAAATAAATGGGCCAGAATATAAATAGATAGAGAGAAATGTGGAAGAAAGAAAGAAAGAAAGAAAGAAAGAAAGAAAGAAAGAAAGAAAGAAAGAAAGA